ACATATAGAGTGATCTTCATCAGTTCTTTTTCTTAGGATTTTAGATTTTATTTTCATCTTGTACTTTGGATCATTGAAACTTGTAATCCATTTTGGAGTTATTATAATAAAAAAAAAATTCCAGTATTTCAAAAAGCATTATTACTTTGATGTTTGCAATATGTCTATAAACTTTAAATCCCTTGAGATATTAAATAACAAAGTAAAAATAATCATGTGCATTGTATATCATGCATCATATTGCACATATTTCTTGCATTTGTTATGCATATCCAGGTATCTTAGATACCTCATTGGTACATCTAAGTTTGGGCTTTGGTATTCCAATAGAAGCCATTGTAGCTTGGTTGGTAACTCCAATTCTGATTTTGTCGGTTGTAAATCAGATAGGAAAAGTACTAGTGGAACTTGTCAAATGTTTTCAAATTCCTTGGTTAGTTGGCATAGTAAAAACCAAGTTTTTTATAGCTTTGTCAATGGTCGAGACGGAACACGTGGCGCCGGTAGTTGTTGTGCCCAAATCGTATGGCTTAAGAAACAATTACTTAACTTTGACATTAAACTTTCTTGTATTCCTATCATGCGTGACAACACTAGTGCAATCAATCTAACCAAGAATTTGGTGCTACATTCTCACACTAAACATATTGAAATACGTCACCACTTCCTTCGTGATCATGTTGAAAAAGGAGATGTTGTATTCAAGCATGTTGATAGTAAAAGTCAATTTGCCAACATTTTTACAAAACCTCTTACAATCGAATCATTTTTCAATATACGTGGGGAATTGAAGATTATTGACATCTTCAATGTTGCTTAATCACTTTTGTTACATGCACTTTTACACTTTTACTCTAACCTTTGTTTGAGTATTTAACATCATGTGAGTTCATCTTCCGCTCCATCAAAATTGGGGTAATGTTGTTCCAAGTTTCTCCTTGAAAGTAAGACTTTTCTTTTTGCATGTTGTTTATGTTCCAAATGCTTGATATATTAAAAATGATAAAACACATGATTGTTCATTTCCAAAAATTTCAATTGACAACCATTGTGTGTTTTTCAAATTATATGTTTATAGTGACTTCACGTATTAACTCTTTATCATTTGAAGTGTATGTTCTTGGTGTACAAGCCTGTTAGTTACTATTACTTCCTGCATTAGCACGTGAATTGAATGTATGTAGTTATCTTGCAAATGAAGTTCTTGTTATAGTTGTGTCACATGTTATGAAAATATTTTCATCTTGGATTTAGTGGTGACATATTTTTTTCCAAGATAGGCACATGCATGTGCAGCATCGGGATTTCTATTGTGATGTGTCACGTAATCATGATGCTAAAGAAGCAACTTAAGAAGTTTTCTCTTGCATAGCATTCGTTGTTATTCATGCATTGCATTACTTGTTCAATATTATTTTGTGGTGGTTATTTATCAACTTTGTATCATTCAATATATATGTGGATATGTGAATGCATGCTCTTCTTTGCAAAAATGCATTTGTGTGATATATTGTTATTTGTGTTGAATTATGATACTTCTCACAGTCTGCTATCTTTCTTTTTGATGTTGTCAAAGGGGGATCAGCATATGCTAGATGAAGTTGGGAAGTACAACGTCAGGGGGAGCCTTCAATGAAGACATGAAATGCAACATCGTAAGTTTTTCCATCATCAAACAAGAGGAGTATGTGAGTGCAACTTCACCATTAAATGTTTTGCATGATGTCAAAATTATAAAAATTTAGCATTTATGTAATATTAGACGATATCTTTGTATCTTTTGGTGCACCCTTGCATTAGAGGTCTTAGAAAGCATTCAAAACAAGTTTGAAATTGGGAAAAGACATGAAAAATCATTTTCTACATAAAAGATAACAACATGTGCCGACACATCCATTTTTCAAGTCGGCACATGCACTACAATATTGAAGCATGTAGGCTCTGTTTGCATGTGCCGACACATAGCCCTTTCGAGGTCGGCATATGCTGTATATTTTACACGTATGTGTCGGCATATTGCTTTTTCAGGCCGGCGCATGTGTCAATATTTGATATTTTGTGTCGGTACATAACTCGTATGTACCGAGACATTATGTTATTTGGGTCATTTTTCCAATAGTTCTTTTTGAAGTTTTCCTATTTGCCACCAAATTTCCACAACTATAAATACATCATACATGCTTCATTTCAACTTGATGAAACTATAAATACTTACCACCATTGCTCTTCATCCTCAACCTCCAACCTATGTATACACACTAATAAAATTCACATAATCATTTTTTTGGGTGCCATCTATACGAGGTTTAATAACTTACAATTAGGTTTGTGTAATCGAGAATATTGGGTTGATAATTGTGGGGGGTTTCATCCGAAAAAACCTAAGGTTTATCCTCTAAGATCTTTGGTATATTTGGGGGTTTTGTTCAAGACTTCGTAATAGTGGATTCGATCGAGTGAAAGCCTTGAAGATTTAGTATCTTGCAAAGGATTAGCGTGAGACAATGGATCATATTGGAATCTCTTGTGGTCAATAGTTTTCAATTGGATTCGATCGAGTGAAATCTTTAGAGATTGGGTATCTCGTAAAGGAGTAGCGTGAGACAGTTAATCAATTAGATCTATTGTGTCTTGGTCTTGCTCAAGATAAAAAAAAAAGAGAAGGGGTTGAATAAAAATCAAATGGTTAGGTATTATAGGGTTGCTCTTGGAACACTTCTCTTGTAATCAACTTTTTTCAAAGTAAGAAAGATCTCTCAATTTCAATTGAAATTGGGGGAAGACGTAGCCATAGCTAGGATGATTCGTGAACTTCTTAAACAAATTATTTTTTCGTTATCTCTCTCTCTCTCTCTCTCTCTCTATCTATCTATCTATCTCTCTCTGTCTCTCTCTCATTTACTTACTATATGAAATTTGTTGAACTTGTTGTTTGATCGATCGATTCGTATAGAATTTTTATTTAATTGTTAAAGTTTAAATTTCTTTGATGGTTAGATTATAATCACTTTGATTATAAGTGTTTTCTCACATCAACAAAACTCAAAAGAAAATCTGAAAAATTGACCGCGCCAAGTGTTCGATAAATTGTCAAGTTTTGTTGTAAACACAATTTCATTGGAAATAAGTAGTTGTTGGGATTTGTGATAAATGATTAATTGAGATATAATTGTGTTTTTTATTTTTATCATTGTTAATTCCATACAGCTTTTGCATATCCGAGTTTCCAATAACAAGGTCCGTTTAGACGACTTTTTCGATCTAGACTAAAAATCTCCCGCACAACATTTTCTTTCAAAATAAATTTTAATTACCTATTTTCGAAAGATAATTTTTACTTGGGTATTTATCCATCTCCTCTAGATAAGTCACCATCGTATAACAACGCCCTTAGCCACAACCAAAAATAAAGATCCTGCTCTTCAACCTCATTGATACCTTCAGCTCCATTTTCACCCATATCTTCACAATCCTTGAGTTGACGGTCAATCCTCCCACAAGCGAAATAAAAGTTTGAAATTATTTCATATTTGAAAAAGACCTTCAATCTCCGCTCTTTGTACTTGATAACAGTGCCTCTATTCAACAACTTCATGAGATCGATCTTAACCTTGATTCGCAGAAATTTCCCCATCATGTTAACATCATTAGAATCCATCTCTTCAAACTCACCAGTGATGTTACCCAGTTGTTTCGCTATAGTTGTAGATCTGAGTTTCAACGATAGATCATAAACCCTAACCCAGAAAGTAACAAAATGCATTTTCATGCCCGAAGGTTATTCATCCTCGGAGACTCTCTCAAGGATCAAGAGGTTCCTATCAAAAGACCAGGGTCCACCAGATAGAACCATCTATGTATCTCGTTTTGAGGAAAACGGAAAAGAAATAGATTCTTTCCAAGGTCATCTACTTCGACATTGTTCATGAGCCTCCATGCCTGTATCAATGTTTATTTGAAAATCCTAATGTTGAAAGGGTTATTGGTCCAAAGCTTTCCGACAAGAGTTTTGTGAAAATTTCATCTTCAATCTCCACCTTGCCATCCACCGTTATAACTTCTTCTTTTTCCTCTGATAATATAACATTCTTCCACTTCTCCATACCCCACACCTCCGAAGCAAAATATAAGAGGGCTAACGTCTGACCTGAGAAAACTAAAAAAAAAGGAGAAAACAAGCACTAGACTCACAAAAGTAAGGGAAAATGATCCTCAAGTAGAGAAAGAAAAAACTAAGTATTGAAAGCCTAGAAAACAGCCACATCTAACGGATATGTGGAGAACACATTAAGTTAGAGAGAGAAAATTTGTCTTCTCTCTAAAAAACATGGAAAAAATTGTTCTAAAATTTGTAGTTTGACTCTAACTTTAAATATAATACATGATTTTAAAATATTGGCTTATAGAAATATATTAAATTACAGTGGAACTCAATAATTTTTTTATGAGTTTTATGAAAATGATTTATACAATATGAAAGTAAATTTTGTATTTAGTTTATTTGTTAAATATTATTAAGAGATGTAATATTAATAAAATGTAATTTGATTCTTTTTTATTTTCAATATCCATATATGCAAAGTTACCTTAAAAGCCACTTAAATGTTTAATCGAAATATACAATTTTGCTTTCAAAAACCAAAACAAAAACAAATGTATAAAAAAAGAATGGATTTAATGTACGAAAATAATGAATATCAAACTTTAAATAGAAATAAAGTTAAATTTAAGAGAGAGAAAAAACAAATTTTAACAAACTCACAACAACTCGATTCACATGCAGAAATCATACCTAACATATTTTCTAAAATTAGAACAAAATTATAATTGAAAAAGAACACCACAACATTTCAAAAATCTTGAGATAATTAACTTCTCCAATAATAAACATTTAATTACGAGTGATTTACACCATTAATTTTTCTCTCGTCTTCCCCAATTCCCAATATCAAAAAAGAGAAGGAGTTCTCTCATTTCTTGTGGGATCAATAAAAAAAAGCATGGGTTTTCGATCCCTCTTCCACCGAAAGAAGAAACTTTTAAAGAAAACAACATTATCTTCCCCAACAACTGTAACCGAACACGTAACATTTATCTCTCGTACTCCATCCCTCCAATCACATGCCAATTTCAGGGAGGATTTGGAGTACGTGTTTCGTAAATTTGATGTTAATAGCGATGGTAAAATCTCTTCTTATGAATTAGGATCCATCATGGGAAGCTTAGGGCAACCTACAACAGAAGAAGAACTCGATAATATGATCCGCGAGGTTGATGCTGATGGAGACGGTCACATCAACCTCGAGGAGTTTATCGAATTAAACACAAAAGACATTGATTCCAATGAGATTTTAGAAAATCTCAAAGATGCTTTTTCTGTTTTTGATATTGATAAAAATGGTTCTATATCGGCCGAGGAATTGCACAATGTTATGGTTAGCCTCGGAGATCAATGCTCCCTCATTGAGTGTCAAAAGATGATAGGTGGTGTTGATAGTGATGGCAATGGAATGATTGAATTTGAAGAGTTTAAAAAAATGATGTTGGGCTCCACATTCGGATCTATGGAAAGAAATAATAGGGAAACATGAAAATTTTGATGTTTCGTTTTAAATCTTGGATTCAGTGTGGTGTTTGTAGCGGTTCAATTTGGTCACACTTTTATTGTGATTTGATCGCAAAAAACTTAAGACCTAATTAATTAGAGAAGTACATTTCAGCATTGATTGTAATTTTTTTATTGTTATGTATGGATTTTCATTGTTGCATGTACTTTCATTTAGTTTCTTCTTTTATTTTCCTTCTCGAGAAATGTTTCTCGAGAAATTATTGGTGGAAGACGAATCTTTCATAACTTGTATATGGAAAATACATCATCATTTCTAACATTTTAAAGGTTTTTTTTAATATCTTAATTTGTATGATGTGATGATTTAATGATTGTTCCCTTTATATATTTATGCTTGTATGGAAATCAATTTTTTAAATGTGTTATGAGATGAACTTTTATTATATATATATATATATATATATATATATATATATATATATATATATATATATATATATATATATATATATATATATATATATATATATATATATATATATATATATATATATATATATATATATATATATACTAGAGATTGTTATACAAAAGTTTTTTTTAGAGAAATTCATATTTATTGAATTATTTACATAAGTAATTTGATTTGTTTTGAGAATACAAGAATGAATAAGGTTGTTTTCTATAAGCTTTATGACATATTGAAAGTTATTAGCATAAAAGAATAAATAAAGTTGTTTTCTATAATTTTATATGACATATTGAAAGTTATTAGTGAGTTACTTCTAATAGACATATGTGTGCTAAGAAGTTGACACTCATGTTTTTACACATAACCTTTAATAAATAATATATGATTTTTGTTCATATGAGAAATGAAGAAGAGTTTTGAGATGTACCACATATGATTATAGGTGATGTGGCACAAAGAGAAGTGAAGTATCCACACAATATTGGACACTTCAGATTTAATATATTATAAATGGATTTGCACATTGTGTTAAGAATGAAATGATCACAAGACATGTTATTAGTTATGGTGGAATGTTTAATAGGCATTTTATAAATGTATTGTTGAATGTTTTGAGGTGTCAAAAAGAACTGATAAAATAACCAAAACTAATTTTAGGGAACAACACTGATGAAATATGGAAATACTTTAAGGTATAGAAGTAAAGCATGTATATGTGATTTAAAATTTAATTTTAAAGTACCAATATTTTTTTTAAGTAAGAAAATATATAGAATTCTTTAGGAGAGTTACATCTTCAAAGAAGACAAAAGTAAATATAGAACAATGAAGGATGAAAATAGCAACATACAAGCATATGTTCACCATATTTTAAATTTACATATTTCTTGACTAAAAATTGATTAAAGATTTCTCAAGGTATAATAGTATATATTCATATAAACAACAAAATATATCTTTAATAATAAGATATTATTAGTTACGTGATGCTGGATATTGGAAAGATAATTTAGTTAATGTCTACAATTCCCAATACTTATTCTTTAATAGGGCTTTTTGGAGTTTTCAATATTTAGTATAAATATGCTATACTAAACTATCAATATTGTATCCCAATTTTATCTCCTCTATTTTGATATACAACAGTAGTTTTGTTATCATTCCTTTGTTCATTCTTCTTCTCCCACTTCATTACCTTGCACTAACAAATTGATATCAGAGCACTTGGTTCTGTTTTTTCCTGGAAAACACGAGTGATTGTGAGCTGTGTGTTTAATTTTGGTTCATTGATTTTCTGTTGAAATCTTGAACAAAATCTGAACATAATCTGATTTTGTGGGTTGGGAAACAATATGTTTGAAGATCTGAAAATTTGTGCAAGTTTTAAAATGAGTGGAGGCAGTAGTTTGAACACTAAACTTCCAGTTTTTAATGGCAAAAATTAGAACAGATGGATGATACAAATGCGTGTATTGTTTGGTGCGCAAGATGTTCTGGATCTAGTTACAAATGGTTATGTACCAGCTGCAGCAGATACAACTGAAGAACATAAAAACGGCTGAGAGGTTTATGAGGAAGAGGGACCAGAAAGCTCTGTTCTATATCCATCAGTGTGTGGATGAAAGTGTGTTCGAGAAGATTGCTGATTCAACAACGTAAAAAGGGGCGTGGGATTTACTGGTGAGATGTTACGGTGGTGACGCATCAGTAAAGAAGGTGAAGCTTCAATCCAAGCGAAAGCAATATGAGAACTTGAACATGAAGAGCAGTGAGAAAGTTTCTATATATATCTCCAGAGTGATTCTGATCACTAACGAGATGAAGGCGTGTGGAGAAACTATGTCTGAACAGGTAATCATAGAGAAGATTTCGAGGTTGCTTACTCATCAGTTTGATTACATTGTTGTTTCTATTGAATATTCTAAAGATCTAGAAACCATGAGAATAGAAGAATTGAAAAGCAGTTTAGAGGCACATGAGTTACGTTTGTCTGAGAGAACTTCTGAAAGGGAAGCTGAGCAAGCTCTGAAGGCTACTTTTGTCAAGAAAGACCAAAAGCAAAATAAACATGGTGGTAGATTCCAAAAGTCAGAAACCTCAACTTCTGATGATAAGAGATATCATAAAAGAAAGGAGAGGTATGACAAAAGGAAGGTTCAATGTTACTCCTGTAAACAATTTGGCCATTTTGCCGGAGATTGTAGGTCAAACAAGGAAAGAAAATCAGAAGAAGCATATATGGCTAAGAGAAACTCTGATGATGAACCTGTGCTACTAATGGCTTCTGATTCTAATGGAAAATGCTCAAAAGATTGGTGGTATATGGACACTGGCTGTTCAAATCACTTAACTGGAAACAAACAATGGCTGCCAGACTTTGACTCCAGAAGGAGAACAAAGATCAGATATGCTGACGATAAGTATCTTAATGCAGAAGGTATGGGAGATGTCAGAGTTAGAGTGAAGAATGGGAAAGACATTCTGATCAAAGATGTTTGGTATGTTCCTGGTATTAGAAGCAATCTGATGAGCGTGGGTCAGCTGATTGAGAAAGGCTTCTCAATTGTTATGAAAAACATTCTCCTGACGTTGTATGATTCCAATGAAAAGTTGATTATGAAGTCTGGACAAGGAAGGAACAGAACTTTCAAAGTGAATGTAAAAACAGCTGAAGCAACGTGTCTTAGTGCAGAAGGCGCTGAAGGTGACAGTAAGTTGTGGCATAAGAGGTTGGGGAATTTGAACTATAGAAGCTTAGGGCATCTATGTTCTAAGAAGCTTGTACATGGTATTTCAAAGATTGTGAAGCCTGAGAAGTCATGTGAGATATGCATGAAAGGTAAGCAACCCTGATTTCCATTTGCATCAGAAGTAGCCCTCAGAGCGAAGCATGCTCTGGGAGTAGTATATTATGATGTGTGTGGACCATTTCCAGTACCTTCACTTGGAGGAAATAAATATTTTGTGTATTTTGTAGATTAGTTCATAAGAATGACATGGGTAACACTCATCAAGTTCAAGCATGAAGTGTTTATAGAGTTCCAAAAGTTCAAAGTGAAGGCTGAGAAGTAGAGTGGTCAGAAGTTAAAGATTATGAGAACGGATGGTGGAGGTGAGTATAACTCTACAGAGTTCCAGAAGTTCTGTGAGGAGAATGGAATATATCATGAGGTTACTGCTCCATATACTCCTCAGCACAACGGTCTTGCTGAAAGAAGAAACATAACTTTGCTTGATATGACCAGAAGCATGCTGAAAGAAAAAAAGCTACCTCACGTGTTATGGGGAGAAGTTGTTACCACATCAACATATATTCTGAACAGATGTCCAATGAAGAAGCTAAAGGAAGTTGTTCCTTTAGAAAAATGGACTGGAGATAAGCAGAGTGTCAGTCATCTGAAGGTGTTTGGCCTTGTCTGTTACAAACACGTTCCAGAAGCTAGAAGACAAAAACTGGATGATAGAAGCAAAGTAATGTTATTGGTAGGGTACCACAGTACATGTGCATATAAGCTTTATTTTCCAGAAACTAATAAAGTTGAAGTCAGCAAAGACGTTGTGGTGAAAGAGTCTGAAACATGGGATTGGAACAAGTCTCAATTAGATTCTGGTGTAGTTCCAATACCAGAGTTAGCCTGTGAAGATGTTTTAGAAAGTTCAGAAGATGAATCTAATTCTGAAGATAAGTTAGAAGAAGATTCTGACAATGGATCTGATTCTGATCCAGATGCTGATGATGATCCAGAATCTAGTGGTGATCATAGTTCTGGAAGGGATAACTCTGAAGGTGCCAACTCTGAAGGTATTAGTTCTGGTGCAACTTCAGAACAAGCTCAAAGACCACAGAGAATCATACAAAAACCTAGCAGGTTTGCAGATTTCTACATGTTGCAGGATAATGAAGTTAACTCTGAAGGAGAAGTCGTTCAGTGTGCCATGTTAGTAGATTCTAAACTAGTGGGCATTGAAGAAGCTCTCAAGAAGAAATAATGGTTGAATGCCATGAAAGAAGAACTTGAGGCAATATAAAGGAACAAAACATGGAAATTGACTAAACTTCCAGATAACAAAAAATCCATCAACGTGAGATGGGTTTTTAAGTTGAAACTTAAGCCAGATGGTTCAATTGGCAAGCACAAAGATAGACTAGTAGCTAGAGGTTTTCTTCAAAAACCTGGGGCTAGATTATTTTGAGGTGTTTGCGCCTGTAGTTAGGCATGAAACAATCAGACTAGTGATTGCTTTAGCTGCAAATAGAAATTAGCCTTTAATGCATCTGGATGTGAAGTCTGCATTTCTGAATGGTCCATTACAGGAAGACGTTTACATGTCACAACCTTCTGGATTTGTGAAAAAGAATCAATAAGGAATGGTATATTTGATACGGTGGGAGAACTGACTTGAAGGTTTTGCGTTTTATCGCAAATGTTGCGGTTTAGCAAGAGTCGCCACAGACTTTTCTTTTATCCAAAAGGAACGGTGAAAAAGCACAGGAAATACCTTTGAGATTTTTTCTTGAGTTCGGGTGGTAGATTATGAAAAGGGGAGGT